GAGAGAGGGAGAGAGAGAGAGAGAGAGAGAGAGAGAGAGAGAGAGAGAGAGAGAGAGAGAGAGAGGGAGGGAGAGAGAGAGGGAGAGAGGGAGAGAGGCTGTGTTGGGGAGGGGGGGGGAGGGGGCGGGGGCAGCACCCTTGCGACATCGTACGCCGCCCGCAGCAGCGACGCCCACCCCTCCTCCTAGCTAACCAAACGGGCGCACTCGCTACCCCCTCCTACTACTTCAGCAGCGACGCCCGCCCCCCCTCCGAGAGCGCCTCGCCGACGCCCTTGGCAGCAGGCGAAGCGCGCTCTCCCGCCGCCACCTCGTCCGCCGCCGCCTCTCCCGCCCACGCCGCCGCCGCCGCCTCCGCCGCCGCCTCCGCCTCCGCCGCCTCCGCCGCCTCCGCCGCCACAGCCTCCGCCCCGGCCGGCCCCGCCGCCTCCGCCGCTCCGGCTTCCGGCACCAGAGGCGACGCCTCCACCGCCCCGCTGATTGAGACGCCGTCGGCTGCGCCGCCCGCGATAGAGCAGGCCTGAGGGGGGGGAAGGTGAGGGTGAGGGTGAGGGTGGAGGGTTATGGGTAGGGGTAGAGGTTGGGGTTGGGGGAGGGGCAGGGTGAGGGCTCTATGGCTGTGGGCAGGGTTGGGGTGATGGGGTGCGGCGAGGGGTGCGGAGAAGGGTCGTGGCTGCAAGCCTCGATGAGGGGAGACGCGCGCTCGACCCGCACGCCATGTCCGCCGCTGGCGCTGACACTGTTCTTGCGCAGCAGCGGCGCTGCCCCTGCGTGAGGGATACGCCGACATGGGGGCGGGAGGACGGTACACTGTGCAGCGTCTTCCGAGCGCCGCGTGAACAAGCGAGGGGCTGCGAGGACAGCGGAGTGCGGCGGAGTGAGTGATTTGTCCTCTCGAGCGCTGGCTGGGAGACAAGAGTGCGTGGTGGTCGGCTTGCTAGCGCGCTGCGCCGTCAAAGATGAGGAAGCCCGCCCCTCCCGCGCCGCTCACCTAAGACTCGTTGGCAGCTCATTCACTCGCGCATCAGCGACGGCGCGTCGAGGAGGATGGCCCGCCCCTCCCCCCGTCACTCACCGTGCACCCCTCCACCGTCGGGCCGCCTCCTCCTCCTCCTCCTCCTCCTCCTCCTCCTCCTCCTCCTCCGCCACCGCCATCTCCGCCGCCATCTCCGCCGCCGTCTCCTCCACCACCGCCGCCTCCGGCGCCGGCGTCACCTCCCGCCGCCCGCCCCGAGATTTGAATGCCCGCCTTTGCGCACCCCGCGACGGAGCAAGCGCGGACGATCGCCCCGCTGCCACAGTCGACGAGCATCATCCCCGCCGCCCTGTGGTTGGGTGACTCTATGATTAGATGCTCTAGAGCTCTACAGGAGGAGGTGACTCCATGTGAAAGGTGGCTCTATGGTGAGAAGGCCTGCCGCCCTCCACCGCGCTCTCCTCCACCAACAGCGAGCTGGCGCCGCGGGCGGCGATGGCGGCGCGGCGCGCCCCCCTCACAACCGTCTTGCGGACGGTCGCTGCGCCGCCTTCCCCAACCTGGACGCCACGCAGGAGTGATCTCGCGGACTCTCGAGTCCTCTCGGCTCCTCTCGCCTTCCCCAACCTGGACGCCGCTGCCGGCCGGGCTGTCGATGGTGCACTTCTCCAGAGTCGCGCGCGCCCCCGCGCGCACCGACACGGACGCGTGTCCCGCCCCGCCGCCGCCGCCGCCGCCCTCACCCCCGCCGCCGCCGCCGCCGCCCTCACCCCCGCCGCCGCCGGCTCTTTCTCCCGAGAGCTCGCACGCTCGCAGCGTGGCCGAGGCGGCCTTGCCGGAGAGGAGGAGGGCGCTCTCGCGGCAGCCGCGCACGGCCACGCCCTCGGCGGTCAGTGCGCAGCTCGAGAGCACGAGGAACCCGCAGCCGCCGCACCGGGCCAGCTCTCCGCCAGACACGCGCAGAGCGCCTCTCGCCGCGAGCACGGCGCCGTGCGAGGAGGGGGCCTCGAGGGTGCAGGCGGAGAGGGAGGCGGACGATCCGTGCACCAGCACCGCGGCGGAGAGCCGCGCCGCCGAGACTGCCACCAGCCGGCAGCCATCGATCGAGACGCCGTCTCCGGCGGCAGCGCCTCGGACCTCCAGTGCGTAGGCCGGAGCCTTGGGCGTGTCGATGGGCTGGCGAGCCTCGAGGTTTGCGACGCGCACGGCGCTTCCAGCGCAGACAATTGCGCTCCCGTCCGAGCCCTCGACCACCGTCGACCCGGCACCCTCACCGAGGAGCGAGACGCCGGCCGGCACGTGCAACGTGCCCTCGCGGTATGTCCCAGCGCCGAGTAGGACGGTCCCGCCGCCCAAGGTGGCGGCGGCGGTCAGCGCGGCGGCAGCGCTGGGGTACTCGGTCGCGTCGGCGCCACCATCAGGGCGGAGGCGCGCGGTCGGAGGCATGTGTGTTTGTGGCTTGGTTTTGGTTCACGTAACCAGGTATCTCGAGGTTCTCGAGGTGGATATCCTTTGGCCGCGTTGCGTAGCGAGGATTGGTGTAACCCGAGCCACGGAGGCGTGTTTTCTGGCGGCCGACCGTCAGTGCACGGAGTTGCCACTTCTCCGACTGCCCCGGCTAGTTCCCGAGGTCGTCGGGTGTGACCCCTTCGTCCCCCGAGACCTAGCGCGGGTGGGTTGGAGGGGGCTCGCCCCGTTCCTCCCCATCGGGCCGCGTGAGCGGCCTCGCCTCGCAGATTCGTTTCTCGCGCCTGGGTCAGGCGCGCGGGGCATCCCCCGGGTCGCTCGACCAGCGATCCGAAGAGTGGCCGCTATGCGAGGGAAAGAGCGGGGCCCACGGGGTACGCCTCCGTCCGGCCCCCTCCGAGGGGGGAAGGGAATTGTGGGGTCCCCACGGGCGCCTCAGTTCGGCCCTCCCGAGGGGGGGGAGGGGAGCAAGGGGGTGGGGGGATCGGGGCGGGGGGGGAGGGGTCTCGGTTTCGTGTGGCTAATGCTTGCCTTTCGGGGAGGGGCCTCGGTGACAGGCGAGCGCAGTTGCGCGCGCCCAACGTCTTCCCCTCCTCCCCAGAGGCAGCAAGTAGGCAGCGAGTGGAGCACTCGAGCGCCTAGTAGGTTTGCGAGATGGCGATGGGAATGGGCGATCGGGTGGTGGGCGAATGGGCAGGTGGGCGGGGCGGGCGGTCGGGGCGGGCGCGCGGGCGGGATGGGGGAACCAGGTATGGTGCACTGAGCGAAACACAACAAATGAATTCAACAAGAGCCATGAAAAGAGCCACATACCCTGAAAAATTCTTTTAAGATGCCAAAGAAGAAAGAAAACCGATCCGGTGGCCTGCTTCAGAGAGAGAGAGAGAGATTTTTAGCAATACCAAACAAATCTAACACTCACACGTCATTTGGGGCCTGGAGCCCTGTTCACGCGCGCGCGAGACGTGCAGACAGGGTTGCCAGGTGAGATCGAATGGCGCGGTTCACGCCTCGCACAACATTTGTTTTGTTGTGAAGAGTGGGCGCGCCACCCAAGAGCCTAGGTAGGTGCGGATCGGCAAGGCGCACGGGTCCAAGACTCGGGTCACATATTCGCTGCCCCCAGAGAGGGACGACGGATATCGGCGCGGCCCTAGCGTGGTGTGCGCCACGGTCCCCCAGGGCACCGTGGCGACGACCGTCGCCTCGGACTGGCTCGCGAACGAGCTGGCCGAGCACGGAGAGATTGATGCGGCATGCCGCGACAAATATGTCATGCACCTGATGACGGCCGCCGGCGCCTCGGCGCCGGCCGACGCCGTGTTCAGGTTCACGGCTGGCGAGGCGATGCAGACCGAGGACGACGACGAGGACACCGGCTCCGAGGAGTATTCCGACGACAAGGCGTCCGACTAGCTGGCTTCACCCATATCTTACCCTCTGCCCCCCCCTCCTGCTACCCCCCAGGCTAGATGTAGTCACAGATAGCCCCACACAGCCCCTTACCCCTTCACCCTCGCCTCGCTGCTTGGTGTTTCTGAACACGTAGACGACCACGCTGTGGGGGTTGTGTTATAGGAGTAGGAGTGGGGTGCAGGTTGTGCTCACCCACGGCACCGGGCCGGTGCTTGCACTTTGAATGCCGTGGGGCTCCTGCCCGTGTCCGGGCGTGGAGATGCGAGGGTCGCCCCCCCTTGCCCCACCACTTTGTGTGTGTGGAGCGACGTTTACCTTACCTTACCTTACCTTCGTTCAAAAAACGCCCGCCCGCCCGCCAACCCGAGGCGGCTCGGCCCCCCACTCACCCAGAGATCAAAAACGCTCGGCCCCTCGCGAGCATCTGAAACGCTGCCGTTTCTTTTTCCTTGGGCGAGGGCCTCACGCCCATCAGTCATCCCAATGGAGGCGCTCCCCCCGAACCCGCACCCATACCGAGGACAAGCGACAACTAGTACGCGGGCGCGAGCGTATAATTCGCAAATGGGACAAAGCCGGCAACGCTCGCGAGGCCTTGCAGCCGCGCGAGGTCGCACTTGCACGCGAGGCGGACCTCCTCAAGGCCGTTCTCGAGGGCGAGAGGGGCGGAGAGCAGTCGCCGGAGTGGGGTTGGGATTGCGCTTCCGTTGGGTAGGTACCACGCGTTCGGATCGGCTAGGTAGAGGGCCGCCTGCACCATCAAGCCGACGGCGGCAGTGGCACCGACGAGGACGCCTCGCCCCGCCGTGCCGCTCTCCACATGCGCGCGAAGGCTCGCGCTGAGAAGTGGCACGCTGTGCGCGACGAGCGACTGCGCCGCGAGCACGCATAGCGATGCGACTCGCACCGGGCGGACGTAGAGGAGCGCGAGGGCGAGAAACGTCGACACAGAGACACCGAGAAGGAGCGCGGCTGCCCATCGCCGACGGTAGCCTCTCATGCACGCGGAAGGCGCAGAGGCCGCTCCGCCTCCGGTCGGCGAAGACAACATCTCCGACACCTCCGATCGGCCGTCTGCCATCGGCTCCAATTCCTCTTGATATGCACCGCCGTTCTCCGCTCGTGGCAACAGCCCCTCGAGAATGCCACCTACCCGCCTTCCCATGTCGACGCCAACGGCGACTGCGGCAGCCGCCTCATTCCGCAGCACCGTTACTGCTGCAAAGCCACCCGAGTACAAGCCCGACATCACGGGCTGGTACGAGGCTGGGTCGAAGAGCGCGCGTCGCTGCCGCAGCACAGAGAGTCCCCGCTTCACCTCTCCCAGACCGGCAGACGAAAAGGCCTGGAAGACCGTCAGCGTGAGCGTGAACGAGGCTCCATAGCAGAGAATGATTGCGTCGATAACAAGAGGGGCACAGGAGAAAAGCTGGACCCAGTCTCGAGCCGCTCTCTCTCCCTTCTTTTGCGCGCTCGGCGACGACGCGAATGCGGGCTCGCGTGATTTCAGCATGTCGGAGCCGCGTCCTTTGGTCGATTTCGGCCTGTTTCGGCCGATATTTTGAAGAAAAAGGGGGATGTCTGTGAGCCCGAGAGCGATATGCCCTGTCCGCCTTGCGTTGTTTCATAACACGAAGGCTAAGCTCAGAAAAAAAGCAAACGTTTTCTCAGCACGATATCTCTTCCACGAGCCAATCCAAAGGACGCGGCGAGAAGCAGCGGAGGCGAGGGTTTTGGTGCGCCATGTGGGATAGCGTGAAGGCGATCAGCAACACACTCGCTTCGAGCGTCGAGCAGGTGGGAGGTGCTGTGCTGGACGGTGGCGCAGCCGTTACCGAGACAATGGCTGCTGTCGGCGAGCAGGTGGGCGGTGCTGTGCTCGATGTCGGCGAGCAAGTGGGCGGTGCTGTGCTCGATATCGGCGAGCAGGTGGGCGGTGCTGTGCTGGATGGCGGCGCGGCTATCGCGGGCACCTCATCATGGTTGGTCGATGAGGCAACGGATCACCTCGACAAAATGGCTCTCGGTCATCGCTGCGGCGGCACCTCCAATGTTCCGAGCGCGACTCTGTCGGCACAGCAAACCGGCTCCGCCGTCGCCACAGCCGCCGTCGCCACAGCCGCCGCCGCCACAGCCGCCGCCGCCGCTGCCACACCTTCCGACGGCGGTCGCAGTTTCGCCGCCTCGCGATACAAGACCCTGTACGAAGAGATGCCACGCGTGACCTATGCCTATGAGCTGCAGCGCGCGCTCCACAGCTTCGTGCGAGCCTGCGCCTCCCACCCGACGATGCGGGTTCCCGCGCCTGAGGGGGACGCGTTCTTCGGCCGGCTTCTAAACGAGGCTCTCGCCGCCGGTGGCGTGGCTGAGATACTCGACGAGGCAGCCCTGAGCAGGTTCGCAGTGCGCGTGTGGACCTCGCAGCAGCTCTGGGGCGGGCGCGAGTTCTGTTCTCTGCTAAACCAGGCCATTCGCGAGGACGGCACCCGCGCGCCCGCCACGCTGCGGCCTGCAGTGATACTCTGCCGCGCAATCAACGACGTGCTGTGCTGCGGCAATCGCAAATCGGGCGCCAGCGAGTGGCCCAGTGGCCCAGGCGCGCTGCCGCCGCTGCTCGGCCAGTGGGTGAGCGCCAGCTGGAGTTCGGAGGCAGACGCCACATTTCGAGGGGGTGCGCTGCCGGCGGAGCACGAGCCCTTCTTCACCGTCGGCAGGCGCTTTCGCACCTGCATGTTTGTCGCAACCTCCTTCGATGAGGCGGTCGCGCGGCAGTTTATGGCGCGCGCGCCCGCCGACATGCAGCCGGTGCTGTGGCGGGTGCGCTTCGACCCGGTGCGTCGCTGCAAGCACGTCAACTATGTCGGCGCGCTCTCGACGGCGAGCTCGCGCGAGGCGGAGTTCCTCTTTCCTCCCTATTCGGTGTTCTCCGTGCTGCGGCTCGAGCGGTCGCAGCGCCACCTCATGGTGGAGTTGCAGGCGGCCGTGGATAATTTGCACGAACCGATCGAGCTGCCGCTCGCGCCGTGGTCGTGAAGCTCGTTGCTCGTTGCACTAGTATGATTCGCTCTTTGACGATATTCGATATTACTACCAGCTACCTTTTGAACACACGGAGTCAGACCGATTCTCGCATCTCGGGAGTCGCGGGGGTGACGCCGAGCCGAGCGAGCGAGAGGCAGAGCGGGCGACCCTACTGACGAGCCGCGACACACACAGACAGACTCACAAACACGACAAAAACCGGCGCAAAAAGAACGCATCAGATAACACCAATCTATATGAACGTAACTTGTACTTGCGCACGAACTACGTAAATCGTGTCAACTCGCACGTTTAGCGTGTCGTCCGGCGCGAGGAGGGCGTTCCGGTGGCGCCGTCGTACGATGCCCTGCAAGTGCCTCAAGCATAATAACGCGAGTCGGCGTCGCCCCAATGCGCCCCTCAGCCATCTGTCCTCTGCCCGTGGTCAGACGGAAACCGGTAATGCAGAGGCGGCGGTATTCGTGGACTAGCTGCTCCCTCCCCATGCCCCGTACCTCCTCTAGCACGGCTTCATCTAGGGTCGTGCTTTCCAGGACTGCGCGGAGTGCCGCCTCGAGGGTCAGTGTGGTGTATGGACATTCGAGGGCGAGGTGGCGTGTCGTTTCAATTGCTCTCACGCCGCCCAGTGTAGGCCGCACAGGTCGCACAGCCCCTGTCGACGTGGCTTCTCTTACATCTTCGCGGCCCAACCGGTAGGCGGTAGCGCATCAGTCAACACTGAGTACGCCGTGTCCGACGTCGGTCGTGATAGGGACCTGTCGTGGATAGAGCGGAAGATAGACCGCGTTATCTCTCGTTCATCAGAGGCTGCGCTCTCGCCATTCCCCTCTCCCCCCCCGTCGCCGTCGCCATCGTTACTGTCGCCCTCGCCGTCACTTGGCTCATCTCTGCCTCCGTCCCCACCTACGTCGCTGCCGTCGGAGGGGCTCACTGCGGCGGTAAAGGCGTCCAGGAGTGGGCCAGCGACTGCCTCCTGCGCTAGTCACTCATCCTCCTCCTCTGAGCTACCTTTGTGCCCCCTTAGGGGCACCCCTCCTGCGCTGCGCGTATGGTCACCCCTCCCTTCCGCCCTGTTGTTTTGGATGCCCCGCTCCGAGAAAGCATGTCTCGCAGCTGCGAGAAAAGACCTTCTCGGGTCCGAGGGCAGCCTCAACTGGAGTAGGGAAATTTGGATTTTGGTCAAACGCCTGCTGGGGGCAGCTTCGCGGAAGTATTCCGGAAGCCAGATGATCCCACTTGTCAACAGCAGGCGCCAGCGCCAATCAAATCTCCCTAGTGATGTTGACAACGGGCAGTCGAGATGGGCAATCTGACCATGAGTCGTTCATCAGGGGATGAACTCCACGTAGTAGTTAATGGATTCCGATCGGCCAACCGTCTCGCGACAGAGCCACCGAAGAACAGTGGGAGGGCTTTACCGACCCGACTCGGCTAAGCCGTCGGTGCCCGCCGCCCCCGCACGCCCATAGGACGACGATGACGACAGCAGGAGCTCGGCGCGAGCCGATTTAACTCCCGCCCCATTGTTGTAAGGTGCGTATGGCTCGAACGTGAAGCGATGTAGTAGCTCGAATTGGCGTGAACACCGGCTTGCTGCGCGGCGGGTCAACCCCATTATGCGCAGTCATCCGGAATTCACCCAATCGTTGAGCTGAGTTGCCCCGACGGTAGGATGCCGTGTCAAGGCCCAGCTGGGCGCTAGGCGCCCTGCCGCACTGGCGCAGGGCGCGACGGCAGTGGCGGCGGTTTGTGCTGACGGCGGCAGCGCTTCGAAGCGGGAGCGACGGGCCACTGTCAGGACAAATCGTCGGGCGCCAGGCAAAATGCGGGCGCGCTGCCGCCGCGGCGCGAACGAGCCCGAGCGAGGCGCGCGCCAGCGCCGCTCGCCGAGCCGCCGTCGGCGGTAGCGGACCGCGCCAGAGACTGGCCGGCGAGCGAGCGCGGTCGACGAAGAGGTGAAGCGCTTGCGACAGCAGGATGAACTGGCGGGCCAGATCGTCGGGCGCCAGCTCGAGCGCCCCCAGCGTGTTAGCGAAGCGAAGCCAGCGTGCCATGGTTGCCGACGGCTCACCTATAGGTGTATATTACAGAGCCATCACCGAGGCTGGCTGGAATTTTAGAGCCATCACCTTGGGCTGGTCCGGTATTTGGGGGCCGGAGTCGTCACCCAGGTAGGAGCTCCGATGGAAGGTATTTTAAGGACAGTCACCCAGTCCGATGGAAGGTAGTTTATCGCCGTCACCCAGGCGCAGGATGCTTTACGCCGCATTCCCGGCGACCTTCCATGTGGGCCAGCTCCGTGGGCCAGCTCCGTGGGCCAGCCTCCGTGGGCCAGCTCCGTGGGCCAGCTCCGTGGGCCAGCTCCGGAAGGTAATCGTCTGCCCAAGGCGGTGCCTCTCTGCGTCCGTCGCGTTCGGCGCCGGTGCCAGTGAGCGTCCGCAGGTTCCTCGCGCGTCCGGCTGGCCGGTGCCGCGAGCGTCCCAAAGTGGTACCTTGCAGGCCCGGCTTCTAGGCGCCACAGCATTGGGCTTTAGGCGCCACAGCCTGACTGTGCAAGCTTCCGAGCAGACGGGTTTGGATGCTTTGCGCCGCATTCCTGGCGACCCGCCAAGAGCCTCCAGGGAGACGGCGGGTGGGTGGCTGAGCCGGCTCGGCTTCTAGGCGCCACAGCATTAGGCTTTAGGCGCCACAGCCTGAGCCCCGCCGGCGGTGAGGGTCCACCAGACGGGTACCAGCTGCCGGGGTGGCGACGGGGGGCACCGCCGCCAGGGCGGCGGGGCGCAGCGCAAAACCGCCACGCCGCCGCCGAGCATGCCGCAGCAGCGGACCGCGCCCAGCCTCTGGGCGCCACAGCATTGGGCTTTAGGCGCCCAGTCTGGGCCCCGCCGACGGTGAGGGGTCCGCCAGACGGGTGCCAGTTGCCGGGGCGGCGACGGGGTGCACTGCCGCCACGACCCGCCGAGATGCCTTGTCGCTATCAGGCGCAAAATCGCCACGCCGCCGCCGAGCATGCCGCAGCAGCGGACCGCGCCCAGCCTCTGGGCGCCACAGCATTAGGCTTTAGGCGCCACAGTCTGAGCCCCGCCGACGGTGAGAAGTCCACCAGGCGGGTGCCAGTCGCCGGGGCGGCGACGGGGTGCACTGCCGCCACGGCGGAGGGGCGCAACGCAAACCGCCACGCCGCTGCCGAGCGCGTCGTGACGGCCGACACGGCTCGGCTGGCAGCGCGCGTCGCAGAGGGCAAGAGGCGAGCGCGCCCCACCGCAGCGAGAGGCGCTGTCGGGCCCACCAGGACAGGCGCCGGGACAGCGACAGGGCGCACCGCCGCACGGCGGCGGAGCGCAACGCGAGCCGTCCTCGCTAAAGACCGCCGCCTCCGCGGAGTCAGGCAGCACCGACCCAAGCCCCGCGATGAAGGCGATCATCAGCAGCGTGCGGAGGAAGTCCTCGCTAAAGACCGCCGCCTCCGCGGAGTCAGGCAGCACCGACCCAAGCCCCGCGATGAAGGCGATCATCAGCAGCGTGCGGAGGAAGTCCTCGCTAAAGACCGCCGCCTCCGCGGAGTCAGGCAGCACCGACCCAAGCCCCGCGATGAAGGCGATCATCAGCAGCGTGCGGAGGAAGTCCTCGCTAAAGACCGCCGCCTCCGCGGAGTCAGGCAGCACCGACCCAAGCCCCGCGATGAAGGCGATCATCAGCAGCGTGCGACCACACCGCCGCTGAGCGCGTCGTGGCAGCCGAAGGCGCCGCGGCTCGGCTGGCGACGCAAAGGAAGAGGCGAGCGCGCTTCACCGGCGGCGAGAGGCGCTGCCGGGCCCAGCAAATATGTGCGCCAGGACAGCGACGGGGCGCACCGCCGCCACGGCGGCAGGGCGCAACACGGAGCTGCCACGCCGCCGCCGAGCACGTCGCGGCGGCGAGCCGCGCCGCGGCTCGGCCGGCAGCGCGCGCCGCCGAGGGGTGGAGGCGGGCGCGCCCCACCGGCTGCGGGAGGGAGGACTGTCAGGCCCAACAGGTGGGCGCCAAGACAGCAACGGGGCGTACCGCCGCCACGGCGGCGGAGCGCAACGCAAGCCGCCACGCCGCCGCCGTCGAACGCGCACTGGCACAAGATCGCGCCGCGGCCCAGCCGGCAGCGCGCGTCGCCGAAGGGGAGAGGCGAGCGCGCCCCACCGACGGTGAGTGGCGCTGTCGGGCCCACCAAAACAGGCGCTGGGACAGCGACAGGGCGCACCGCCGCAACGGCGGCGGAGCACAACGCGAGCCGCCACGCCGCTGCTGATCGCGTCGTGGCAGCCACAGGCGCCGCGGCTCGGCCGGCGCGCGTGTCGCCAAAGGAAGAGGCGAGCGCGCTTCACCGGCGGCGAGAGGCGCTGCCGGGCCCAGCAGATATGTGCGCCAGGACAGCGACGGGGCGCACCGCCGCCACGGTGGCAGGGCGCAACGCAGAGCTGCCACGCCGCCGCTGAGCACGCCGCGGCGGCGAGCCGCGCCGCGGCTCGGCCGGCAGCGCGCGTCGCCGAGGGGAGAAGGCGAGTGCGCCCCACCGACGGCGGGAGGAACTATCAGGCCTTAGGACAGTAACGGGGCGTACCGCCGCCACGGCGGCGGAGCGCAACGAGAGCCGCCACGCCGCCGCCGAGCACGCCGCGGGAAGCTCGAACGGCGTGTCGTGCATGGCGCGGCGGGACGGATGATTTAACGCCTCACCCAGGCGGGGACTGAGAGCAGTAGCGGGGCGCCGGGGGCGAGCAGGTAGAGGCGCTTATCCTCGACGCTGCGGCGGCCAGCGTCGCCGCGCAAGTAGGTCGCCGCATCGCGCGCCTCCTCCAGCCACTGCGGCCCCGCAACGTTGGGGGCGCAGAGCGAAGGGGGCAGCGCGCCCTCCAGCGCGAGCACGTAGTCCTTAAAATAGCTCGCCAGTAGTTGCGGGTTAGCACTCGGGGGGAGGCCGTACGCGGAGACAGCCGCTGGCGAGAAGGTAGGGCCGCGCGCGCAGCCGCCGCCGGCCTCGCCGCAGACGCCGCGGCGCTGGCTCGGCGAGGCGCCCCGCGCTGCGCATGAGCAGCATCCCCCGCCAGCGCGGCCGCGGCGGCGAGGCCCCCCACCGGGAGGAGATCGGGCTCTTTCACCTCCAGCGCCGCTGGCGACACATCGAGGCGGTCGATCGCCAGCTGTAGTGCAGCCGAAGAGGAGAAGGGGGCCGCGTCGAGGAGCCCGCACGTGAGCAGCTCGTTCAGGAAGCGAGCCCACGCGGTTCCGGTGAGAGCGAGGTCCAGCGGGCAGACCATCGGGGCGGGAGTACCGGCGGGGGGCGCCGCGTCCGAGGCGCAGCCGCCGGCCAAAGACGCGCAGCATCGCGTGGTGCGCAAGCTGCACGCGCGCTGCTCCGCTCGGCGCAGCCGCAACCGGCCCCTAGCGGAGGACGGCAGTAGCCACCACCAGCGGGTGGGCAGCGGGGCCCTGGACGGGGGCGTCGGGCCCCGCGTGGACGCAGTGCAGATCAATCGGCGGTACTGCCGCGGCCATCGCGCCCGACAGGGGCCGAGCGCGGCTCGCAGAAGCTCTCTTTATTCCCTAGTTCAAGCAAAGAAGGGGAGGGAGAGAGCGACGCGGCGAGCGCAGGCGGCGAGCGTGCACGTCGCCTGTGCGGCGTCTTGTTCACTCCCCTTTGAGCTACCTTTGTGCCCCCTTAGGGGCACCCCTCCTGCGCTGCGCGTATGGTCACCCCTCCCTTCCGCCCTGTTGTTTTGGATGCCCCGCTCCGAGAAAGCATGTCTCGCAGCTGCGAGAAAAGACCATTCTGTACATGTCTGGACGCTCCACAAACCCTATTGGGGACTCGGACGCGATGGATTACACGCTGCCAATACGGTATTCTACGGCTGCACTATTTGCTGCGGCTCGGCGGGGCGCCGCCGCACGAGGCGCGCCACCGCGATGCGGCGGCGGAGGAGCTGCCACCGCCGCTGGAGCGGTCCCGCATCGCAAGGCACGGCTCCCATGCTTGTTAGTATGAGGCGCAAGCTCACCGTGCGGTGCGCCGGAGCCGGGTAGAGCGGCACCGCCACCGTGTCGAAGAGCTTGTACGGCGGCTGCTGCAGCACCTGCGGCGTCTGCTGGAAAAAGTTGCGGAAAGGAACGCCGCCGCAGCTTGGCTCCTGTTCGTGGACCGGGGCGATGACGATGCCCCGGTCCATCGCCGCCTGCACGAGGCGCGCGACGGCGCCGCCGGCGTCCAGGAAGGTCTTATCGTTCAGGTAGAGCAGGAACACTACGTGCCCGGAGAGCGGGGCCGCGTTGACTCCCTCGAGCGCCTCCTCCGCATCGCGGATCGCGACCGCCTCGGCGCTGGCGGTAGAGCCGCGTCCCTCCCCCGCCGCCGTCTCGACCAGCTCCGCTACATTGGCGGCGCCCTCGTTGCCGCTGCACACGAGGATGGTGACGGGGCCGCTGAAGGCAACGGGGCCCGCCTGGCCGGGCACCATCACTCCGTCGGCGAGCTCGGCCGGGCGGCTCGCGTAGTAGGGAGAGTGGCGCAGCATGCGCAGCACGACAGCCTTGAGCGACACGAGCTGAAAGGCGTTCACCCGCACCCACACGATAGGCATCGCCTCCTCAAACACGCGCGCGAGCATCTCGTCTGGCCCGCGGTAGGAAGGGTAGCCAGGCGGAGCGACCTCGACGCAGTGCTCGCGGCACTCTGCCTTCAGCGCCTCGATCGAGGCGCCGCCCTTTCCTGTGTCTGCCTCAAAGATGGGGATGAAGGGCCGGTTCGAGCCGAGCGCCGCGTACAGCTCGCGGCGACAGTTGAAGCTCTTGAAGTATCCCGCGCTGAGGAAGACGAGAAAGGTCATCGCGTCCCTCACCGACTCCTCGAGCCTGCCCACGTCCTCGAGGTTGTCGACGTCGAGCCAGATCCGGACGCCGGGCAGTAGCAGCTGGAGTCGCCGCACGACGGTGTGGGTCTGGTCCTGGCCGGTTCCCCAGGCGTGCGAGATGAAGCCGTGAAAGTGGCACTCGGGGGACAACTCTAGGACTGGGGGGCGGCCGGAGCAGACGAGGCGGACGGTGGGCATGCGGACGGCGCTGATTGTCTTGAAGAGGACGACGAGCAGCGACGCGATGAGCATTGCGGCGGCGAGCACGATGACAAACTCGCTCGCGCCGCGCGCGCTGTCGAGGCCCACGAGGGTCTTGCACATGTCCTCGTAAGCGGCGCTCTCGCACAGCTGAATCACCGTGCCGGAGGTGAAGCAACAGGCGAGCAACATATTGGCGGTGCACGCGAGGTAAAGGTCGTCGTCGCGCTTGAAGGGACGGGTGAGGGCGAGGACGGCGAGGTAGAGGGCCGAGACGACAGACGCGATGAAGAGGCGGAGGATCTTGCTCGAGCCGTCGTCTGTCTGGATGAAGAGCACCAGCGAAGCGAGGAAGAGCTTGCGGCCCAGATCGACGACCTCCCAGAAGAGGAAACGCGGGTCGTAGTCGCGCCAGAGGAAGCGGCAAGCTCGTGCCGTGGCCATGACTCGCTGCGCCCGCACCTCGGAGCGGATCGAGAGCAGGAGCGCCAGGAAGGCTAGCGGCACGAGCACCGGCCAGAGCACGAAGAACGCCCAGAAGTAGGCGTCGAGGCCGCTGTACTCGTCGTCGTCGGCGCTGCAGAGCACGTCGAGGTCGGCCACGAGGTAGCTGCGCCTCTCCCCGGTAAAGAGGTTGATGTCAAACGACTCGCACTGCTTCGCCTTGAAGATGGAGCGAGAGACGGAGGGCAGCACGAGGTAGGCAACGAGGATGGCCCAGTAGATCAGGCGGCGCAGCGTAGCGCGGACGACGTCGCGACGGAGGCTGTCGGCGCAACCAGACAGAGTCGGCGTCGCCCTACGCGTCGAACGCGGGATGGGGTCACAGAGTGGGTCGGCAGACGCCGGCGCGCACAATGCCAGGCGCTCGCCGCCGGGGCGGGCTCCTCCTTCGGAAACTCCTTGATCGACGGCAGCGGCGCGCCGCCGGCCTCCGCCGGCTTGAGGGCCGTGGCGACCTTGGTGGCCGGCTTGAGCGACGGGTCGTTCTTGATGGCGCCGGTCTCGTCAACGGAGGCCTCCGCGCCAGACTCTGCCGCAGGGATGTCCTTCTTGAGGGCGCCCTTGACGGCGCCGGTGGGGGCCGTCGGTGGGCCGGTCGGGGGCGTAAACTTGGACCAGAAAACGGCGGGCGGGCACGGAGCGTGGGTGGCGAACATGGCCTTGGCCTTGTCCGAGTTGACCGCGCCCGCGGCCTTTTCCGCGGCCGGGTCCTTCTTGAGGACGCCCTCCGGGCCAGACTTTGCCACGGAGATGTTGACGTTCTTGACGCCGCACGCCTGTGGGCGAGGGAGAGTACAGTACGCGCAGGCTTTCGGAGACGGGAGAGGATCATAATCCTGGTGTGCGCACGCGCACCTTGGCTCCGGGGAGCGAAGGCGACACCGACGCGGAGATGACGAGCGTGACGCGGCCGTCGTCAGCCGGCACGATTCCGACCTTCGCGGAGGACGTCATCGGCGAAAACTCGCCCTTGACGTTGCCGCCGCCCGCGTCAACGCCGTCCTTGAGCGGGACAGGCTCGCCCTCGGACGGGACGTTGCCGGTGCCGGTGCTGGCGGTGCCGGTGCCGCCGGTGCCGGTGTCGATGCCATCCTTGAGCGAGACGGGCTCGGAGGGGATGCCGACGGCGTTGCCTCCGCCGGAGTCGATGGCGGTCGTGTTGTCTGCCAGAGACGCCTGTCAGCCACAGAACGCGAGAGGCTAGTCTTGCGTGCATACCCCCTCCCTGAGCCAGTGCAAATTAACGCACACCTGCTTGTCAGCAAGCGGCGGCGGAGGAGAGAGCTTGAGCACAAGCTTGTCACCGGCGGCCGGCACGAGCTCGAGTTTGAGCATGTTGATCGAATTCCTGCAGAGAGTCAAGAAGCGGTTGAAGGTGGTGCTCGAGTGGCCCTAGCGGCTGCGGACACAGAGTGGCTAGAGAGCGTGGGCGGGGGGAGTGGTGTGGTGTGGTGTGGTGTGGTGTAGGGGTGTGGGGAGGGGTGGGCTGGGCTGGGTTATAAAGGCGATGGAGAAAATCTCGGGCAATCTCGGGCGACCTGGCCTAAAAAGACAGAAAGAAAATCAACGCGCCCGCGTGCCGCAGCAGGAGAGGAGACTAACGGGCTTCTTGACTTGACCGGGAAGGTTCGAGCCTGAGAGAGTAGAGCTGCGCCTACGGGCAGCACGCCTCGGCGTTAGCGTCGCGACGACCGGCACACTCTCTCGTGTCCTCGGCGCTCGGACTGGAGCCGGGCAGCGATTGGCAAGCGAGCGGGCTGCGTCGCTCTCTCGCCGGAAAAGAGTGGGGGCAATCGGGCGGGTTCGCTCGGTTTAAGGGTGGGGAACGAGCGGCAGCGGCCGCGTCTCGCGGCTCCTCGATGGCAGCAGCCTCACCTGCGAACGGGAGGTGGCAGGCATTGTGAGGCCGAGAGGGGCGTAGCAGATTACGCTCGTGCCCCAAGCGAAGCGCATCGCATGGTGGGAGCGGAGAGGGAGCGGCGGGTTGCGCGAGCAGGAGGCGTCGCGCCGCTCGGGCGTGCAGCTCCCCGCGGCCATATGTGCGTCGACGCAAGCGCGAGCGGAACGGGAAAGGCGAGGGACCTGCGAGGGACCTGTGGCGTCGAGGGGAATGTGACGCGCGCTTTTGGATATCTATATGATAGCCAGCCTCGATCAAAAAGAGCGCCTTCGGCACTACTCTCTCGAGGTCTCGCGGATCTTATAAATCAGCCGAACGGCCACAGAAGGTTCACCGACACCAGGGAGAGAACGGGAGCCTCCAAGAAAAGAATTTTACAACAAAACTCCCCCTTCGCTGGGAATGTGGGGATTTATCTCGGCTTATGGGAAATGCTTATGCATCCTTTCGCCAGGGGAATATGGGGAACATCTCATGTTCACACTGTCGTCTGTGGCTGCAAACTGTGGCCGCGAAACCAAACAAAACCCTGGCCTCCTCACAGATTTTCGGCACGACGTACAGCGTCAGCGAAAATCAATTGGTGGACCCTGACGGCTCCTCACCGAGATAGCCGGCTCTCGGCGTCTCCGACACACACCTATGATCGAGTGTTTTTTCATATCAACGCGAATGGAAATTCTTCTCTTGCGCACCAGTCCCGTGCCAGTGTGTCCGTGCGAGGGAGCTTTGTTGTAAAATTCTTTTGCTGTGTGTTAGAGTGCCGGCTCGCGGCTGCCGGGGTGTCTAAACACGGCGCAAGGCCCATGAGCCATCCCAAGCTGCAGAAACGAGCTTTAGGCACTGAGATTATAGTGCGCGTGAGTGAGCTCATTATGGTGCGCGCGGAGCGCGCTGGTGCTACTCGGACATACGCGCGGAGCGCGCTAGCTAGACACACGCGCGGAGCGCGCCGGCTAGGTACCGCGGAGCAAGCAAATCAACGCAACCGTTCCTTCGAATGCTGACGCCGCAAGTCGTTGCCGCCGGTTGCCAAAGTGCGCCTGGATTGCTCAGCAGCACAAGCTCCACGGAGCCAGCGAGCGCCGAGCGACATTGCCTTGACTGAGCCGGACTGGGACATGTCGGCGGGCAAACTTGTAAAATGGTTCCGATAGCCGAGGTAGCTCCGGCGGACGTGAGAGCACGGCCTGACGATCAAGCACGAGAGCGACGAACGGAGGCGCAGATAACTGGCGGTGAACTCACTACCGAGAGGGCCTCAGGCTCGGACTGGACACCAACGCGGTATGGGTGGACGCTGGACAGATGATGACGAGCGTGCCGAGCATGAGGCCGAGCTGGGAGCTGGTGTTGAGGGGGACGTGTAAATACACTCGGAATTCTCACTTTGGGACACGGGTGGTGGGGGTCCCGGGTGGTGGTAAAAAAGAAAGAAAGAAAACAGACAACCCAAGGTAGCGATGGGAGCACGGCACGCCGCCACCACACAGGGATTTTAAGGAGAGGGGTGTGGTGCGCTAGCCGTCGCCCACCCTTGGGCGTCCGCCTCTTCCTATCTCTCTTCGCAGTCCCTCGCCGATTCTCGCTGCAACCTTCATGCCACCTCGCGGTCGCCCCCTTCTCGTCGTGCTCTCCCTTGTCGCTTCTTCCTCTGTCGCGTCGCTCTCCTCTGCCTCGTTCTGCGACGCCGCCGCCGCCTGCCGGACGGTCCCTTGTTCTCGCGGCTTCTTTCGCCTTTCGGCGCAGCTCCGCCCTCCTTGCTGCATATGCTGGCCCCTCGAGTCTATCGAGCTCTCCTCGAGCAAGGACGAGTCTTCTGACGCCCACTGCTATCATTTGCTGCCCAGTCATGTGGTTGCTCAGGTCCACTCTCTCTTCGAACACTTGAGCCTTCACGGATGATGCCGGCGCTGGGGTCCCCTTCGGGTGCATCGTGACAGCTGACAGCGGGATTTCCACTGGTTCGTCCTCCTCGGAGTCGTCTTCCCCGGCTTCCTTCCGCTCGGCTCTACGTTCGGTACGTTCGGCGTGGCTCACCCTCCATGCCGTGAACAGGCGCTTTATCCACCCTATATTCTTCTCTCGTTCCTCTGCCCGTGCCTTGGTCTTGTCGTTGTTTCGCACCCATGTCTGTATGGCAATCGAGGCTGCCTTCCCCACTACCTGTAGTTCACTCGTCACCTCTCCCGCGAGCTCCCTTCTCTTTCTTTCGGGTATGGAGTCCGTGAGTGCGGGTAGCGTGCAGGCAATCACGGGCGCTATTTTGTCGTACTCCTCTTCGGCGAGCGCTCCGAATCTAGACCCTATTGCCTTTAAGGAGGCTGCCACGCGTGGGGAGACCTCGTTGTGGTCCTGAAGCCGATGTTGCCGTGGAGGGGCCAGGAAAAGACCGATCTCGTGAACGCGAGATGTCGCAAAGAGAAAAATGAAAAAGACGGGCGCCCCCCGCCCCTGCCACCCTCGGCGTGTGCCCCTATCAGTGTGCCTGTGGTAGACAGGACCAAGCAAGTGGGTGGCGAAGGCGCGCGTCGCTGGGAGCTCAGAGCCGCGTCCCCTGCTCGCCACCCCGACGCTCAAGGCGCCCGAGTCGAACGACAGGCGGCACGCGAAGACTGTTGCAATCCCGCCGATCCTGGAGAGATGACCGGTTGTTTTTTTCTTCTTTTTTCTAGTCCCGTGCCCAGTGATGCGCAGACAGTACTTCTCTTCACAACAAAAACAAACTTTGGCGAGCCAACGCAGCTTACACACGTCGCGGCAGTCGAGGTGTCCACCGCCTCTTACCCCAGTTGCACCGCGCGCGCAGCGCGGCGCCCGCGAGTCGCGCGACGTCCGACGACAACAGAGTCTTCCGTAGCCCGCAGCGCGAACTCGGAGCCTAGCGCAGCGCGAACTCGCCGTCTGAGCCTAGCGCAGCGCGAACTCGCTGTCTGAGCCTAGCGCAGCGCGGACTCGCTCCTGTTCATAGCTGCGCAACCCTAGCCCGGCTCCATGTTTTCTTTTTGCGCAGCGGCGCCGCCAGACGCCCGCCCCGGCGGTGAACGAGCGGAGCGAAGTGAACCGCCGGGGCGGGCGCCTGGCGGCTCCGCGGAGCGCCTTTGGCTCGGCGCGGGCGGGGGGGCGAGTATAAAAAGAAATCGAAGAGGCGCTCTCAAAGAAATTTAGTGCGGCCCGACTAACACAACCTTTAGGAACACCATTTTGCGGTCCTGAGCGGCCGTCTCGGAACGGTACAAGCAACGGTACGGGAGTTGCCCGGGCGGCAATGCTGCTCGCAACCCTAGACGTAGCCGACTAAACAACAATCCGAGCCTACGGCACCCCGGGCTCGTGATACCGCACCGCCCACGGGACCGACCCACACTGGGTTGCTTCCGATCAAATGAACTGGCGGCTGTCGGGGGAAAGAGCGGCCTCCATCTCGGCGGCTTGGCGCATGAGCTGCCGCTGCTCGAGGGCGCTGATCCCCTCCTCATACGGCCCGTCGTAAGAGCCGCTGCTCTTCCTGCTCCCCCACACCGGCGGTGTGGTCATGTCGCCGGCCGCAGCCGCAAGCGGCGTCTCTGGCGCGGGAGGCTCTCCCCTCCCCAGCCGGCGCGGTGTCGGGTCGGGCGCCTGCCGGCGCTGCTCGACAAGCTCGACACCGCGCGGGAGCTCGGGCGTGCAGTCGGCCTCGGCGAGCCGCGCGTTGACGGCCGCCTCGATGTCGCCGAGCTTGCCCTTTGCTGCGCGGATGGCCGCGTCGTGCCGCTCCTCAGCGGCGGCCGCGCGCCGCAGCGGCGCCTGCTCCTCCCCAGGCATGTCCCCAGGCTCCTCCGGCAGCTGCACCGCCGACTGCCGCGCGTCGCGAGCCTTGTCGCGAGCGCGCTGCGCGAGGAAGGCGGCGCGCGCCTCCGCGTGCGCCACCCACTGCGGCCTGCGCGGGACGAGCCACTTGAAGAGGACCTTGGCGAGGAGGACTGCGTGCTCGAGCGCCACGAGGAGCACGATGGTCGTGTACCAGACGGTGTACCTGCCCACACGACCTCACGCGTGAAGAGTCTCCACTCACAGCGCGACCGCCGTGTGCACGGGACGGCGTGTGCCGCCGCTCGCCGCAGAGCGAGCAGAGCCGCGCGTCGTAATGCGGGTCGGCCGGGTCGCAGAGCAGGTCCGCGAAGGGCTGCGAGCGGTAGGCGAGTGCGTCGAGGTACTCCGAGGCGGGCAGCCACGGCACCGACCCAACCTCCGCGAAGCAGAGCCTGTAGTTACTGCGGCACCGGTCGTCGTGCCAGGAGATGTTGAAACCGGACCAGACGCCAAAGGGAGTCATCGCCTCCGGCTCGTTGGGCGGCGCAACCTCGCACGCGGCGTCGTCGCGGTCGGCGACGATCGGCGTCACGATGTAGTCGCGGAACGTCCACGACGTCGCGAGCAGCAGCACGTTGACCACGATGGCGAGCCACGAGAGGAGCTCCATCATCTGCTGCCACGAGCCCGCGTCCTTGGCGCCGAGGTAGCGCGGCCGCCGCACCTCGAAGCCGAGCTTGTGCGCGTCGACGCGCAGCTCCACGAAGTTGGCCAGCATCGCGCAGAAGGAGGCGAGCGGGAAGCAGGCCGAGAAGAGGGCGATGTACCCGAACTGGACCACTACTCGGAGAAGGTGCCGTCGAAAGGGCGCATCGAGACCTGCGCCAGCGCGGGAGGGGGGGGGGGGGGGGTGCAGGCTTCGGTGGGCAGAGGGCTGGGGCGGCGGGCCGACGGCGGGGGAGAGGAGACTTGCCTGCCGCTCGATCGCGTAGCGGAACTCCATTTCCTGCGACGCGTGCCGGACGGCACTCGCGATGCGGTTGACACTCGGCTCCTCGGCTTGCCCGCCCGCCAACACCGCCCGAGGTGTGCCCTCGTTGCTCGTGGCGAGGGACGGCGGCGGCGGCGGGCGGGCCCCCCTTTGGACCTTTGCCGGCGCCGATTCCGCCAGCTTCGTCCACTGCCTCTCGAGAGCTCGAGCGCGCCGCCAGAGGTTGAGCCAGCGGACGAGCCTGCAGACAGCGCGTGTGGCGGGTCGGAGGGCCGTGGTGGGTGGACACACCCCCGCGGAAGGCGGGGCGGAGGGGAGCCGTGGCAGGAAGACTTGCAGCGGCAGCTCGTACAGCGGCTTCAAGATCATGAAGCATAGCATTGTCACGCGGAGCTCGGACCAGCAGTCGTCGCGCACAAAGATGAAGTCCTCGCCCCCGCCGTCCCCGCCGGCGCTGCAGCGCGATCCGGCGCTCATCGAGGCCCACCAGTCCCTGCCTCGGGCGCCACAGGTGTCCGCATACGGTTCGCCGTACGGGTCGGTGTACCCCCACCCGCCAAAGAGCGTCAGCGAGTTCGGCTTCGCGAACGCGACGTAGACGAGCGGGCCTGCTAGTCACAGGAACCTTCTAGGAACCTTCTAGGAACCTTCTCTAGCAGACGAGCGGGCCTGCTAGTCACAATGCTTTGGAGTCTGTGGACACGGCCTCGGGTGGAGCCCCCGTCCTCGACAGGCGGGCCGTAAGAGTTGATGCACTCGAAGAGGAGGTTCTAGGAAGTGTCTAGGAAGTGTCGAGGAAGTGTCCAGGAAGTGTCCAGGAAGTGTCTAGGAAGTCGCGGGCCGTAAGAGTTGATGCACTGGAAGAGGAAGGACTTTCGGATGAGCGCGTCCTCGTACTCTGAGGCCGGGCGAGGGGGTGTGGCGCTCTGAGGGCGGGGGTGTGGAGCGCCGGCTGAGGCCGCCGGGGGACGGCGGGGGCGGGGGGGGGGGGGGGGGGCCAAACGGGAGGTTCTCCCCCTTTGAGGGCCCCTAGGGGCGGGGAGGGGCACCGGTGTCTGTCCTGTGGTACTCGAGGCCGTTCAGACAGGCTGCGAGCCGCTTGTACAGCGCGTTCATCACCGAGATCCAGACGGTGTTGAGCGCCGCGCCGATGAAGGGACCCCATTGCGAGTTGAGGTAGGTGTTGCCTTCGAACTGTTTCCCCAGCCGGAGCAGCGCGCGGAACGAGAAAATGGAGAGCATCACCGCGACGGTGGTGGCGGCGACGAGCAGCAGCACCGGCGCGCCGACGCAGAAGAAGACGCAGAGCCGCCGCCACGGCGAGAGGACGAGCATCTCCTCGCCGGCGGGGTGCGGCACGAAGCGGCGGACGCGCGACGTGCCGCCCCCGGCCATGTAGAAGCCCCGCTGCTTGGTGATGGACTTCATGCGGTGGAAGGCCTGCAGGCGCTCGCGGGCCATGAGTGTGAGTGAGGGCTCCCACTGCTGCCCCCCTGACTATTGCACTTTTGTCTGTGTGGCGATGCCTTTCCCTGAGAACGCACACTCCGCCTCGTGTGCAATACCCCCTGTGTTCCGCGAGTGCGTGTGCCCCGTCTTCCGTGCTAGGACATGTGTAACACTGACTGACTGGCTGGAAGGCCTGGACGAAGCGCGGCCGCGGCGCCTCGTCGCGCTCAAAGTTGAGCACGTCCCACTGGAAGGCGAGCGTGTGCTGCCTAGAAGGTTCCTAGAAGGTTCCTAGAAGGTTCCTATAGAAGGTTCCTAGAAGGCACAGCACTGGAAGGCGAGCGTGTGCTGCCTGCGAGCCCACAGCGTGCCTGCGGGGGGGGCATCTCCCTCGAGAGTCAGCTCTCTCGGGAGACAGAGGAGCATCGGCTCGCTCGCCTGCCCCCCACGTCAATGTGCAAGGGAGGGAGAGCGCCGGCCGCGGGAGACTGCGCGCGCGCCTCGGAGGGTCGCCCACAGCGCGATGACGACGGAGGAGAGGGGGAGAGTGAAGGCGGATTTGGTCGTGCACGTCTCCGCGAGGAAAGAGGTGCGGTCCTATACGTAGCACAGGCAGCCGTCACTCCAAGGTCTGGCCTGCTCCACCTCTGCACACGTCTCCACACAGAGGAAGGAGGTGCTGCGCTGGAATCAAGGGGGCGCCTACTACTACTCTTGTGTGTCTCGCGCCTTGCGTGTGTGTGTGGGGGGAGCGGGAAGGAGGAACCGCTTTCCAAGAGCGCCACTCTTGGAGCGCCGCCAAAACCACCCAGAGCGCTGCAAGCAGCGCCGGGGGCAATGACGGCTTACCGCCCAGCCAGCCCCCCCTCGGCACACCCCCGGCAGCCACAATGTGTGACGGTGCTACTACTAGGGGTGCGCTCCTCGTCGCCCGGGCAGAGGGCGGGCTCGGGCGGCGAGAGCGCCGCCGAGCCGAGGAAGTCGCACCCGTCGAAGAGGTAGATGCCCTCGAGCGCGAGGGACCCCCACATCAGCAGCCACAGCCAGCCGGTGTAGTGGTCGAGCCTGAGGGGGACACACGGCGCCATGATGCACCTCAGAAGATACACCCCCCATCTCTCCACACACACAATCTGAGCGGGCGCCGCTCTCTCACCAGCCGAAGTAGAAGGCGATCTTCTCGCCGTAGTGTCTAGGAAGTGTCAAGGAAGTGTCTAGGAAGTGTCTACTCACCAGCCGAAGTAGAAGGCGATCTTCTCGCCGTAGTAGTCGCGCACGCGGTGCAGCGGCATCTGGCAGAGGCCGAGGTCCGGAAACAGGCGGCGGCGGGTGCGCAGGACGCCGCCGCGCCAGGGCCAGATGCGGATGCTCTGCAGGGCGAAGCCGCGGTGGAGGCTGCGGCGCTCCTTGGCGTCGTGGAGAGGGAGGTAGGCGGTGAGGACGCCTGGCGGAGAGGGAGGGGGTGGGTGGGTGGAGGGGTGCGCGCGCGCCGCGAGCGCGCGAGCGAGCGCCGCGCGTGCGTGCGTGCGTGCGTGCGTGCGTGCGTGCGTGCGTGTGCGCGCGCGTGCGTGTTTACGTGCGTGCGTGCGTGCGTGCGTGCGTGCGCATGCGTGCGTGCGTGCGTGCGTGCGTGCGTGCGTGCGTGCGTGCGTGCGTGCGTGCGTGCGTGCGCATGCGTGTGTGCGTGCGTGTGGGTGCGCGTGGGCGTGCGTGCGTGCGTGTGTGTGAGTGTGTGTGCGTGCGTGCGTGTGGTGCGTGTGTGGGTGGGTGCAGTGCTTGGCGGTGTGTGAAAGGCCGCTCGCCCTTTCGCACGAGCTCGTCCAGGTTGAGCTCCGCCCCTCCACGATCGGCCGTCGCCTCCACCATCGAAAAGATGAGTCGCTGCCGCTCGAGCGAGGAGAAGAGGCGGCCTTGCTTGAGGGCGAACTGCTCGCGCCGCCGTCGCGTGAAGCCGCGATAGGCGGGCTGGCCGCGCTGGTGGTCCGTCTCCGACTTGGCCTCGTCGAGCAGCAGCATATCCATCTCGAGCCGCTCCGCCTCGCGCTCAAGCCTCTCTAGCGGAGCCGTGATCATGAGCAGGAGCCGCGAGCCGGTGCCCTTTGCGGCGACGGGCTGGAGACCGATCCGCTTGAGGGACTGGATGAGTTCATCGAGACCGGCAGCGAGGGTCCCGCTCGTGCCGCTCGGGTGAATGAGGACGAGGTCCGCCTCGAGGCCCGCCGCGGCCGCAGTGGCTGCCTCGGCCTCGAGCGAGACGGAGGCGGGTGCCTTGAGCTCGGACTCGCCGTGGAACGCCTCTTGGACTACGATCGCGAATTCCTCAGACAGCCTCCGTAGGTTGGCGCGCCGAGAGACCGGGATCGGCGTGTTCATGGACATGCCTGCAGCGGCGGTTGTACGAGCCTGCAGCAGGGCCTTCGAGACTCCAGATCCCTACAAGCTCGAAATCAAAACCCCCACGATTTTCAGCCGCCGTTCACGGCCTCCGAGGACATTAGTTCGGGATTTGGGGGTTCGAAAGACGGGCTGCGCGCCCCCTGACCGCGTTTGATATGGGCCTCTTCGGCAAGACCAAGAAGAAAGGGCTGCCGCCCAAGCTCGGCAAGAAGTCGGAGACGTCCTCCTCCGTCTCCGATCCCCCTTCCGTCGCCTCGACGCCGCCTCCTTGCTATGGAGCTCATCAAAAAAACGGTTCAGTTTTCAAAGGCAAAAACGCCAGCCTACGCCCTCCCCTCACACTGACACTTCTCCCTTATTCCCAACTTTACGTTGCGCACCCACGTCTCCCAGCGAGCTAGGATCTCCGCTTTTTCTCCCCTAGTCATCCGCCCGCGCCGCGCGCCTCTATGGGCGTCTAGTGCAGCCACTGACAGAACTATTCCCGACGGAGCTCGGAGGAGTGGTCGATGTCTCGCCTGAAGTCGGGTGGGCTCGCCTAGGGGAGGGGTGTGTGTGAGGTGGTGGAATGGTAAGGTTTCAGGCCACGGGGGTGGGGGATTTGGGGGATGAGTCAGGAGCCAGCAGCCTTCCTACTGGTCCTGAGTTCACAGCTCCTCCGCCCGACGGGGTGGTCCCTTGGATTCGGGCCCCGCTCCCTTTTCCTGCGCCTGGTCTGTCCCTGTCATGCGTGTGTTGCGAGATGCAGAGCTGGTTAGCTGGAGCACAGAGCTGGTTTTGGGGCACTGTGGTTAGGCTGGAGAGCTTGTTAGGCTGGGGCACAGAGCTGGTTGGGCTGGAGCACGGAGCTGGTTAGGCTGGAGCGGGGGCGGCGGCGGCCGGCGAGGGCATCGCAAGCAGGCGAGAGGCGGCCGCGGGGCGTCGAGTGGCGCGACAGGAGGGTAGGCTGGCCGTGGGGGGGCGCCGCATGGCCTCGGCAAATGAGTGAGTTTCCAGCTGGAGTTTCAATGGTTTATGAGGGGCCAGTATTGTACGCATTTGCACATCGAGCCTGGGGCGTGGCCTAGTTGGTACAGCGTTCGGGTCGGGGACGTTTTGGTCGTTGGTTCGAGCTCAGCTGGTGCAGTTTGTAGCCGCGCAGCGACGCGGGCGCGCGGGTGCGCGGCAGCCTCGGCAACCGAGGCGACAGTGGCGAGCAGGGGCGAGCAGGGGCGAGCAGGGGCAAGCAGGGGCAAGCAGGGGCCAGAGCAGTGCGGCGCGCCTGATTTTTTCGATGGGATCGGTCCGTGGGCAACCTGGTTTGTGGAGCTCCCGCAACTGTCCTGACAGTCCTGACAGAGTCCTGACAGAGTCCTGACATAGTCCTGACAGAGTCCTGACAGAGTCCTGACAGAGTCCTGGCGGGGTCCTGACGGCGCACGGTCTTCACAGTGCTCACAAGTGCCTCCGAAGAGACTTCCACCTTCCTTCACTGCAACCCTCCTTCCCCTCCCCCCCAGCAGTGAATGATAGACGCCCAGCCCCCCTTTCGACCGTGCGCGCCCTCTGCGGAATCGTCCTGATGGGGCAGTCCTGACGCAAAACTTGAGAGTCCTGACAAGCAAACTTGAGAGTCCTGACAGAAACTTGAGAGTCCTGACAGAAACTTAGAGTCCTGACAGACAAAAGAAATCACTCTGGGTCTCGCGCCACTCGGCCGACCATGAAAAGCGCACAAGCAAGAGAGGCGCGGCCATGGTGCAGGCAACGTTACAGCCGGCAACGTGCATAGGCAGCAAAGCTCGGCCACGACGTCCATGGCCCGAGCGCCCCCGATTTGCCACCGGCAACCTGCAGGCCAGCGCCGAGCAGCGGACTGACTGACTGCTGACCGAGGCAGCGCCCACGGCAGCGCCCACGGCAGCGCCCACAGCAGCACCCACGGCAGCACCCACGGCAGCGCACACGGCTTGGCTGGCCATGTCAGCCGCGCAGGGACCCTCCCGCGGGTCCAACCCGAAGCGCTCGACCGCTCGACAGCGCAAGTCGGCTGACGGAGCGAGCCGCATAGCCCTCCAGTGCTCACCGCAGGATCAGGCCTGACCGGCCCTCACGGCCTGGCCTGCCTGTGGACCAGCAAACTCGTTGGCTGTACGCGAGGAAAGAGCTGCGTGGCTGGGTCGATACCGTCCCCGTGCGCCCTTTCCCTCAGTGGAGGGCCGTCCCTGCCCTCGGGAGTAACTCGACTGTACACCCCTCCCTACTCTCTAGCTAAGGGCTCTATTCACAGCGGGGACAGTGGTTGTCCTGGCGGAGTCCTGACGGAGTCCTGACAGAGTCCTGACGGAGTCCTGACAGAGTCCTGACAGAGTCCTGACAGAGTCCTGACGGAGTCCTGACAGAGTCCTGACGGAGTCCTGACAGAGTCCTGACGGCCTATTTTGGAGTTTTTCAACTTTGAGGTATTGTAACTATGTGAAGGCACTATGAATGCATCAGTTCTTTGGGAGAGTGCAATCCATTTAGCTATTACCTCCAACTCAAAAAAAGTCTGGTGGCAAACGGGCAATGGGGTCCCTTATGGTGGCCTCTAAGGGTAAGTTGCGGGAGCTCCACAAACCAGGTTGGGCGTGTCAGGAGGCGGCCGGCCGGGAGAAACTCGTTAAAACTCCCGCGCGCACTGGCAGTGGCCCACTGGCACGAACACAGTCGGTGAGACGGCCCGACCGACTGGCATCGCCTCCACGCCGGGGCGACAAGCTTGGCACACCTCACCGCCGGCGCGCGCACGGCGGCAAACGACCAGCGTAAAGGCCGGCCGGCACCCACCCGGAAGGCACAACGAAAACGCAAGCGCATGCGACTAGAATCCGGCGCTGCTTCCTAGGGCCGATGAGCGATGACGTCTCGGCAGCTACTCCCACACGCGCCCGAGTGCTCAATCGCAATCGGACCCGCCCGCATCGTCGGCCGTGTCGAGGCCGCTGTGTGTGCGCCGCGCGCGCCAGCGGGCAGAGGGTACACTGACGCGCTCACCCCGTGGAGTCCTCCTCCTCCGCGCAGTCCGCGCCCTTGTGCGGCCCTCTGCGCAGCACCTCTCTCTCTCTCTCCACCAGGTACTCACGGTGCCAGTCCAGGAGTATGCGCGGCTCGTAGGCGCGCGAGACGCGGCGGTAGCCCACGAACAGGAGGACGCCGAAGCTCACCATGACCGTCGAGTTCATGATCGCTAGGCCCATGCCAAACTGGTCTGCAGCGGCCAGCCTGTCCGCATCCTCGACATCGATGCAGGCCTAAGGTAAGGTGAGATCCGGTGAGCTTCTCCACGCACACGAGGTGGTCGGGCAAGGGGGCCAGGCGACCCTCGCAACTCCACGTCTAACGACAGGAGCGCCACACGGCACTAAAAATGCAAGGCCCGGTGTGCGTGGGTGAGCGGTGCGATGTGTGTGTGTGTGTGTGTGTGTGTGTGTGTGTGTGTGTGTGTGTGTGTGTGTGTGTGTGTGTGTGTGTGTGTGTGTGTGTGTGTGTGTGTGTGTGTGTGTGTGTGTGTGTGTGTGTGTGTGTGTGATGCACTCCTCGAATCCGTGGGTCCTGCGCCGCTTGGGCAGCCCGACAAAGAGGACGACGAGCAGCATCGCCGAGCAGTAGAAAGAGCAGGTTGCGGCGGAGAAGCAGTTGTTCATGTGGCGGACGTGCCCACGCGAGCGCGCGACCGCCGCCTGCGTAGACACGAGCAGCGCCGCCTCCTGGGCCAGCTGCTTGACCTGGGATGTCAGCACCACCACGGCGAGAGCGAGGCTCATCGTCACGCTGACCGAGAGGAAGAACATGGTGGCGAAGAGCCGGTGACCCACGGACTTGTAGATGCACACCTCGCTCTCCTCCTCCACAAGCGGCCCGAGCGTCTCGCCGCCCCACATGGCGAGAGCAAACCCAATCACAATCGTCGCCTGCATGGTCAGGTTGTCCATGCGCGTGTACAAGACCTGCCGACGGGTGCGGGTCTCAGATACATGCGGTGCGAGAACCGTCGCCACCCGCGTGTGAGTTTGAGCATCTGAGTTTCGAGCGTTTAGCTGCTGCATGTCGAGATGCATCACGTTCAGCGCGTTCTCCTGGTGGACTTTGGCGGCATTGACGTGCGCCAACATGGTGTTCCCGGGGGTGGCAGCGCTTTGGAGTACTGACTGTGCGACCGCCGAGTTTCACGCTGTTTCTTTTTTTGCGCCAAATGAAAGCAAGCGAAGGGACACACACATGACGCGCGCGCGCGCGCGCGCGCGCACACACACACACACCGCCGCATTTAGCCGCGGTGATTGGCCTCAGTGAGAGGTGCAAAACCCGTCGGCCTCAGTGAGAGGGGGGAACCATCGGAGAGAGCGGGCTACAGCAACGCAACGCCGGGCCGGCTGCGCGCCATCGCCATCTCCACCACCGGCTCCCACACGTTCGTCGCCGGGTCGTACCTCTCCACCGAGCTGCGCGGGTTGGACGCGCTGTCTTCACCGCCCACAGCGTACAGCTTGCCGTCGAGCACAGCCACAGCGTGAGTATCCCGCCCCTCCGCCATTGGCGCCACCTCCTCCCATGCATTCGCCGCCGGGTCGTACCGTTCCACCGAGCTGAGGGTTTGGTCGCCTTCGTTGTACCCGCCAACAGCGTACAGCTTCCCATCGAGCGCCGCCACATCAATGAGCCTCCGAGACACCTCCATCGGCGCCACCGCCTCCCACGCATTCACCGCCGGATCGTACCGCTCGACCGAGCTGAGGCTCTCACCATGCGAATTCTTGCCGCCCACCGCGTACATCTTCCCGTCGAGCACCGCCACGGCGTGAAATGTACATCAAGAGAGAGAGAGAGAAGGAGGGCGATACAACAAGCGGGCTAGAGGTTCCTCTTTTCCGCGCCCCCCCCGCAAGGCGCGCGATACACGGCTACACGAGAACCCCTGGAGACCTGACTGTGCGTGTGTGTGTGTGTGTGTTAATCAGCCCGCAGAACCCTCCCAGCCTAGTCGGGAACCTTCTCTCACACCCTCGGGCAGGGGGGATCAACCGCACTGGTCCGAGGGGAACCCCCGGACTCAAGCCGACACGCACGAACCCTCCAGAGCGCGAGGTCGCAAGACCGGCGTTATGACGGACGGGGAGGCCGTCTGTCACGGCACCAGTGCGGTCCTCCCATACCCGTCGGTAATGACTAGGGCGCCCGGCGATGACGGTTCGTTGGGCCCCGACTGCGACGGCCCCTGCATGATGTGCCCTCCCCCGCCGCCTTGCCAGCCGCTTGAGACGGACGCGTGTGTTGAGGAGTGGAGAGGAGCGTCGCCCCCACCCTCACCTCCAGATGGTGGAGACGAGGCGGAGATGGCTGATGGGCAGGCAGGTCCGTCTCAACCCTATGGTATTGGTACCGGTGCGGAAGTGGTGGTGGATGGAGTCTACGACTGGGGTGGCATAAGCAGGTGGGCACGGTATCGAGGGAACGGTCACCTGATGGAAAGGTGGAGTGGACAGATGAGTGAGGATGATAGGAGGAAGGCTAGAGGGCTCAGATTCGAACAGGAATATGGGCAATTCAAGGACAATCCAACGAAGTTCATGGGGGAGACTGGGACGTTACAGGGACGTTACAGACAAACGATATGGGGCATGAGAGCGCCTTCGTGGTAAAAAACCGCAGGCTTGACCCGGCTAGCCGCCGACCACCGCCCACAAAGAACCAAAGAGAGAGAATCTCTCCCAAGAACCCTGCACAAAAGATCCCGGCGATTTTTTCTTTTCACCGGTGAAAAGAAAATGGGGCCAGGGACGCTCAGACCAGGGGGGTCTGAGGGGGGGTCGCCAGGGATGGGCGTGACAGAAAGAAGCGAGCGCCACAACCGAGCACTGTAATCACACATGTCTCTCTGACACAGTGCTCGCTTGCAATCACACTGAACACCGCCGCGCACCCCCTCCTTCACACATCATCACATCATCACATCCATCTTCGATGTTTGTTATACCAGATGTTCCCGACAGCACAGCGCAACCGGCACACGATCCTGACTTGGGCTACGTGGGTTTGGCTGGGCTGACTGGGTTGTTCGTGCCGGGCTGCACCATGTCGCAGGCTCTTCACTCGCTGCGCGCTCACAGGGCTTGCACCTGACCGATGAGGACCTCTGCGCGAGGGGAGCTCTCGTTATTGAGGACCTCTTCGTGAGGACCTCTTCGTGAGGCTTCGCGCCTCAGTCAGGCTCGCTCAGGCCTGAGGAAGCTGTCTCGACGCTCGCCGCCTTGCCCCTTGCTTCTCGATGCCTTGCGCTCGCAACCTCTCCGGCTCGACTGCACCTGGTGGCTCTCATCACGTGCGGTTTATTTTGGAGGGACCATCGGCAGGTGAGGAGAGGACCTTCGCAGTGTTGTGAGGACCTCTCGCCGTGAGGACCTCTGAGCTTGGCCCGTCGCCACAGGGGACAGGGCGTAGCTACGCCTGCGCTGGCACCCACACTCCTCCAAAATCAAGCAAGCACAGCGCGCCCAACAGCGGCCGGGAATTTGTCGTCGAAATGACACGCGGCGCACAGTACTCGAGACTCGCTCTGTGTAGGTCTATGTATGTTAGTGAGGCTACTAGAGACGAAAAACCCACTTCTTGTGAAGTGCTGGCTGCTGATCGTTCTGTGCGTAAGAAACAAGCAGCCAGATCCTTGTTTTTCTTTTCACCCCCTGCTTGCTGCAGCGCCTCGGCCCAGGCGCAGTCGGCGATGTCCTCCGGCGCGGGGAGCTCCGGCAGCGTGATCCGGGAGGTGTGGGGGCCGAACCTGGAGCAGGAGATGGCCGGCATCCGCGACATCATCTTCGACTACCCCTACATCTCCACATGGCGCGCAGCAGCCCCGCTCGCAGCCGCCGTCGTGCGAGGGAGTTTTTGTAAAATTCTTAGGTGCCAGGGCCTCTCAGCGAGCCGTCTTATTACCAGGTTGCAACCCTTGTTCCGCACTGTGCTGTGAATCGAGCGGCAACCAACAGCTCTCAGGACCCCCCGGTGCTGGGGTGCTGCCAGCAACCAACCAACTCACCGGCGAGCGGAGCGAGCCGAAGAGCGGGCCAAATTGGCGCTGTGAACGCACCTCTACGTGGCGGGCCGCGCAGGCCCGGCAGCAGGGCACCCCCGCGCGGATGCCGACGAGGATCACGGTGCGCTACCCGAACGAAGGTGGACTGCCGACAGGGTTTGCGGTGACCGGTGTCAGTTAGTGTATGTAAAAAAATCTTAGAAATTTGCCCCCCCCCCCCCCCCCCCCCCTCCCGAGAACGGGGCTAGAAGCACACCCCCCAGTGCGGGACATGGGGCAGCAACCGACAACGTGGACGGGGATGGGGTGCTGCTCAACCGGCGGCAACCCGCAGCTTTCTCGCCGAACAAGGGTTGCACCTGGTACAAGACGGCTCGCAGCCGGCCTGGGGTGTCATGTGCCCATCCCCCGCGGCTGCTTCGCTGCGCCGCGTCCCGCACGTACGCCAGAGCTTCTCCTGGGACTGCGGCTTCGCCTGCACCGAGATGGCGCTGCGCGCGCTCGGCGTGCCCGCGCGCGAGTGCCACGTGTCGCAGCTGCGGAAGCGGGTGCCGTCCTCGTCCATCTGGACGGTTGACCTAGCCTTCATCCTGCGCGAGTTCGGGCTGCGCTTCCGATTCCTCACCGCCACGCTCGGTGTCGACCCCTCCTACTCCGCCGAGGCGTTCTACCGGCCCACGCTCGAGCGCGACGCCGAACGCGTCAACACGCTCTTTGGCCGCGCGGGCGCTGCCGACATCGCGATCGAGCAGCGGTCGATCTCGCCGTCCGAGCTGCGCGTGCTCTGCGGCGGCGCGCACACGTGCGGCGGCAACCTCATCATCGGCCTCGTTGACCGGAGAAGGCGCGCGGGACGGCTGGGAGACGCTTCCGAGGCACTTCCGAGACACTTCCGAGACACTTCCGCTCTCCTCCACAGCCAAGCTCGTATGGCGCGTGGCATGGCAGCCCCCCCTCCTGCCCCACAGCCCCCCGCGCCCTCTCGCCACCGCGCCCACGGCGGCCGCATCGCCACGAACGCGTCCGCCGCCGCGCCGCATCCCTCACCAGCGCCATCATGCCCCAGCGCCGCAGCGCCGCAGCGCCGCACACTTGCTGCACCGCTTCTCCGGAGAGCAGAGGAGGAGAGGGGGGGGGAGGCATCCTGGGCCAAACCCAGGGCACGTCCACGACATGTCCGAGGCGTGTCCACAGGCGCGCTGGGGGAGTGCTTCCCTGCGGCGGCGGCGGGCGAGGGGTACATCGGGCACTACGTGCTGATCACGGAGTACGACGAGGGGAGGAGGGGGTACTACATCCTCGACCCGGCAGGCTCGCAGGCGAGAGAGGGGGCGAGAGGGTAGCCGAGAGGAGCAGAGAGGAGCAGAGAGGAGATGAGAGGAGATGAGAGGAGCAGAGAGGAGGAGAGAGGAGCAGAGAGGAGGAGCGAGAGGAGCAGAGAGGAGGAGCGAGAGGAGCAGAGAGGAGGAGCGAGAGGAGCCGAGAGGGGCAGAGAGGGGCAGAGAGGAGCCGAGAGGGGCCGAGAGGAGGCCGAGAGGAGCTGGAGATAACATGCATCCTCGGGGGTAACGCCTCTCTTTCCCCTCCACCGCCCCCCCCCCCCCTCCCCCCTCCCACCACCACCACCACCACCACCACCCTCCCTCTGCCCCACGCCGCCGCCGCCATCGCAGCCCCTCGCCACCGCAGCAGCGCGGGAGAGCCCTGCCCCTCGCACTCAGGTGCTGCTGCT